AATGCTCCTATGTAACAAAAATGAAATAAATTTACATAAAGACTTCATAGCAAACAAAGAAGTGCTATGTTTAATCCTGGGTGACAGTACAAGGCAGTATAATTCAGTCCTGTGTGACGAAATTGATACTTTTACAAAAAAATTCTTAGTTGATGCCATGGACAGTAGAAAGAGGTATACAGATAATATTTAATATTTTTCCAGTGTACTTCTTATATTTTAGTTTTCTTATTTTTTGTTGTTGTTGCTACTTTTAGATGTTTTTTGTTGTTGTTATATTTTGTTATCTTAGTTCATGTAACTTAATTTCTTTTTGTCTATCAAAAGTTTTTTATCCATAAGTCTTTGAGTGAAATGTATTTTTTTTTTATTTGGTGCAGCTCCTAGTTTACATAGTGAGCCCCTGTTACAAAAGGGAAGCAATAAATAAATAAATAAATAAATAAATAAATAAATAAATAAATAAATAAATAAATAAATACAGCTATATTAACACTTGTTTCTTCCTCTCTTTCAGAATTCTGACAAGTTGCTAAATAGTAATCTTCCCATGTGCACTAGACTTGTATATATAATTATCTGTTGGCTTATGTCCTATATTGTTGGAGATGAGAAAGAGTACATGAGTACCCACAATTAAACACTAAATACAACCTCCCAAACCCATTTCTTCTTTTTCAGATTCCTTTAATACTATCTCCATCTTCCTCCTGTTACATATATTGTTCTTTCAGTTAATATACTTTTTTGGGGGGATTAATTTTCTCTGAAGGAAAATAAAATCCAGCAAATATCACTTTTTTTCCATATTTTACATTCAACTCTTCAAAAATCAGTACAGATAAACTACATACAAAACACCCAAAAAGTCTTTACAGCGACAATTAATTCCAGCTAAAATAAAGTTAAACTATTTATTATTTTCTATGAAAGTTATTAAACACCAAGAACACACTGTGCACACACTCTGTTTCAACTACAGAATATATTATCCAGTTTATTTCAAAAGTTTCGTTTCAAAATTTGTTTTTCCTAAAAGAGTTTTCCAAACAAGATACTACTCTGCAGCAGCCTAGCTACAATGTCATGGTGTTTACACTAGTTTTTTATCAGTATGCAAAGCAGATGAATTTCACATGGACGTATGTCTTTGTGCCCGAAGCATATCCTACTGACTCGAACTTTGACCAATCATTAACAAACACAGTTTGAACTGGGAGTGGAGCCAAGAGTTT